CTCAAGATTGCAAGTAGATTGTCCGTAAGTACAACTTATTAAAGCTCCGTATCTGAATTCATGTAAATACTGCAGATAAACTTAATCAAATACATGATAAACATCTCATTTTAAATAAAAAAAATCTAAAATATAATTAGGATAATTATTGAGTTTTAATAGAATAAAATCATTATTGTTTTCTTTAAATTTTTATGATATCTTCAAATTTATATTATATTCAAAAATAAAATCATTTGCTTTATTAAAAACACATAAAATCGTATTATAACATCGAAAGAGACAAATAACAAAATAGAACATTAAAATCGAGATATGTCTCGCTGCATTGCGAGCATACAACCCTCATCTCAACCATTCAATTTTTAATCAATTAATTGTTTCCTAATATAAAGTATTAATCATATTAATAAACTCTATTCATATTCCATAAATATTCAAATCATAATAAATGAACTCCAATCATTTCTATATATATCTCAATTAATTGGGTTACAAAGGTTGTACAAATGCACAAGGTTGTAAAAGAAATATACCATATATATATATATATATATGTGTGTGTGTGTGTGTGTGTGTTCATATGGTTTTTACATTAACAAAAATAATGAGATTTTTTGATTTTGTAACTCTCAATTAATGATATGAGAGTTACATAAAAAAGAAAATTACCTAAATACTATTTTCCCCATATTGTCATGGATCTTAAATTAAAGACAATGAAATTCTCGCTTTTCAGAATAATTTATATAAATAAAAGATTGCTATTATTTTAGATAATTTAGTTTTAAAAATAGGTAGTCTAATTTTTATATAAAAAAAGAAAGTGGATAATCTTTTGAAAAGGAGATTGAAAAAATGACCGTTCCACTTAGAGGTTGTGTGGTTCATTTAATTCAAATGATTTCAAGAGAATTTGAATGGATTTAAATGCTCAATTTTTTTTATTAAATTTCAATTCTTTTGTTTGGTTTAATACTAAAAATACCGTAATTCTTTAAATTCCATTGAATGACGTGGTCTGCAATCTTAGGTTATAGCTAAAGTCGCATGAATCACATATAATTTGACCGTTTTTTTATTCTCTTACTTAATTAATGTTTTCGTATGAACGTGACTCTCTCTATATATTTTAGATGTATTAAGATTATAATTTATAAAATATTTAATAATGTAATTAAAATATAATATAATTAATTTTAAAATCTACAAAATAAAAAAAAAATACTAAGTTTTAACTTTTAGTTCTTTATTTTAAAAAAATATTTTAAATGAACTAATTATTTAAGCATACACCTTAATCAATACTTTAATTTAATTCATGATGTTTTACATACAAAAAGCTACTTAAATACGTGCATATGGGATTAAAAAACCAGTTGCTGTGGCCCATGGGCTGCATTGATTTGGGACAGCGGTGTTGCGGAAAGCTTTCGACCTAAATTAAGGGGACGTTTACTAAACGTTTACCCGGTAAGTACTTATCGAGTAATTTTCCTCACTGGATGAACATGGCAAGAGCCAAGAATCTTACCCGGTAAGAGCGATGATAAGGATGGAGAGTCTTACCCGGTAAGTGAGGGTGACGACTCTTACCCGGGTAAGCGCTTACCAGGTAAATTGTTGCATAAGATACGTTTTGATGTACTATAATCTTATCTAATAATATAAATTATAATGTTGACTTCTGACGTTAAGCACTTACCGAGTAAGCATTTAGGTAAACGGCCTCCAAAATGACAAATGACCCTTTTTCCTATTTAGGGATTGTATGGTCAGAATAATTAAATAGTGAGTATAATTAAATGATTCTTTATGATTTAGTACAGAATGAAAATTGGTTGTTTGATAAGTTTTTTGTTGAATGACATAAAATTACCATTTTAACAGTATGTATGTTTTTATCATAATTAATTATTTAATTAATTTAAACATTATCATCTAATATCTTATTTATAAACATTAATTATAGTAATTTACGACCAAGCCCCTAAATTTTAGACTTCAAAACGGATTTTAGTTAATTAAATGGGTAAATTATATTTTGATCGATGTTAAATTATGAACCCTTTAAATGGTAAATTAGATCCTATTAAGGGGTATTTGGGATTGTTTATAAAAACAATTTATTAATTTATTCCGGTGTGGCACCGGTAATAAGTATTTTTTAGTGTTTGGATAAACAACTTATACCGGTGCCAAACCGGTAATAAATAGTTTTTAAAGAAGTTAAATCATTCTAACTTATAATAAGTTGATAAACATTTTTGCAGAAAAACATAAGTTGTTTCGAATAAGCAGTCCCAAACACCCCAAAGAGAATAATTGTTATGTTATAGCTTGAATAGTTATGATTAACCCGTATCTAGGACTTGTAAGGACATTGGTTGTTTTTACAAGAATAAATTTGGACCGTTTTTATGGGTTGCATGCAAATTAAGTGTATTTAGCACGATTGAAATGTAGATGTTATGTTAAATGTCTTTGTGAAATAATTGATGCATGACCATGAGTTTTGAACGTTATTTACATATAATTGGTGAAAGTTTTTCCTCTGTTTTAGTTGTGTTTTCTATTTATGTGTTCGTATTTCTTTTTATTTTTATTTTTATTGGGAGCTGTTGAGGATATTCTATGGTTAAATGCATCATTTTTGGATTCAATGTTGGACTGCGAAATACACACACCGTGGGGCGGCGTTAATTTGAAAACAACTGAAAATATTATCTTTTGCATGTAATCTTATGCTTATTTCAGCTACATTATGAGAATACTAAAGGATTAACTCTTGATATAAAGGAAGATGAGATAAAATATGGGTAAGGATTGAAGATATGGAAATAATTTTTTGAAGATTTAGAAAAAATCACTTGCAGGATTTAAAAAACGAATACCAATCCGAAGATTTTTCAAGATCTGGAAATATCACAAGATTTGTTGAACAGTGTCCATTTTGCGTAAAAGATTAAAGAGACTTTTTTCCATGGGGTAAAAACCATCTTCCCCTGACTAGAAATAAGAGCCATTGGTGAAACATTAGAGGAGAGCTTCAACGTAGAAGTTCTAACCACTTTTTTTTACATTTTATAGTTGCAGTTGTAATTTATTTGTATGTCGTTAACTTTGGGCATTGGTGGGCACAATTCGTATTTTATTTTCAACCCAGATAACTTTTAAGTATTTTTCTTCTTCTACTATGTTTTTTTACTTTAATTATTAGCTAAACACCTCTTTGGGTGTAGTGTGAGTCGATCCTAAAACACTTGGGTGTGGTCATCATTGCTAACTCTTGGGCTTGGTTACTCAAATTGAAAACTTTAACTCAACGCGGGGAAAGACGATCACTTGAAAGTGTTAATATTAGGTCTTAGACTCAGAGATGGGATGAGTCTAAAATACGTCTTGAGTGATGCAAGAACATTTGAGAAAGTCTTTTACATAGAGATATGGGCATCCTATCAATAGTGATAGAACCAAGATGCCCTGCAATTTACTTAGTTCGGTCAACAAGCATTCGGTTGGTAAAAATGGTGACTTTATGGGGAGATTGTGGGCACTCTTTATAGAAGTTCACTTTCGAGAGATGGGGACTTTTATAAATGTCTTTGTGACCCATCTTCTTGACCATATTGTTACTACTGACCTCTTAGGTGACCTTTACACCCATACCCATTTTTAGTTACTTGTTTATATTTCATTGTGAAAATCATCAACTTTATTACTTGCAATGATCATAGTGTCGGTGTATATTTACATCGCCATTGTGGGAAAATTGTCCCCATTGTGTGGACATACACGTTTTCCTGCTATCATGTACTCACATAGTGAGAGCCGATTAGCATGAGACTGTGATGGTTTGCATAAGAGTTTGCTTTCACAAGAAGAACTGAGTTTTGTTGATAGTTTAATTGACCACGAGAGTACAACAAAGTGGGTCGTACCATGTAGTTCACAACCGTTGTGCCTAGTCAATAGGCCCAAACATTATTTGCAAAATATTCGTCATTTATGAAGAGATCTAAATGATAACTCACGGCTTAAAGTCACTCGCATGTCTTGCATTAATTGTGTTCCATAATGTATGTTCTCGTGTTTTCTTATTTGATTCTGATCATAAGCCAATCGAGAATGTTATACGAAACTAAGAATGTGATCCCTCTACTTTTATATATCCAAACCCTTCTTGTTTTTTAAATTCTAAATTTTATTTGTAATTAAGATGTTAAAACAAATAAGTAATTATTTAACAAAAAGAATTAGAGAAGTTCATGGGAAAACCCCAAAACATATATGAAGATTTGAAAAACATTCTGATAACCATTCATGTGGACAATATACATATGTAATTGAAGCTGTCTTTTGGTTTTTATGCATGTTATGCACATGTACATACCGGATAAATTGCTTACAAATCACTTGCATGCACATATACATAGTGTCCAAATTAACGGTTACCGAGTTATTCCTTGATTTTTATTGTCGGACCATATATATTAATTTGAAAATAAATAAATTAATTATAAATGTTAGATCAAGAAGGTCGGCAAAAAAGAGTATGATATAAAAGTTGAAAGAAAACCTTAAGGGTGGTGTTTGATTGGTTTGAGCTTGACTTTAAAGGGTAAAAGTATCAGGAGGTTTCAAATCCAAAGAGGAATAAAAATCTCATTGTGACCACGAAGGTTCAAATATGGTAACTCCAGACTGTCTACAAAGTAGGTGGTCAACTTGAGATAAACAACGGATTGGATATCGAGGCTAATAATTTTTTTTTTTTTTAAGGAAAAGATACATGGCAAAGGACACGTATAAATTTCCATTTTCTGAAACTTCTTTCATTTCCCTTGCTTTTTACGTGTTCCTCCGATTCTCTCTCGATTCCCCATCGGAGCTTCAATTCTCTCCCCGGCAAACATCCACCACATTCGCACCTCAAACAATTTCATTCTTTCTCTCTCGGATTTCTCCGATCAATATCCCCAGCCATGACTCCTGAGTAGTAAGTTCTTTCGTTTTATGATCAAATTTGATCCATGAATTCGATTAATTGAATAATTTTTTATGTTGTGTGATATTCATGATAGAAACAATGAGATTTAAGTGCAATCAATTGTGTGATTTATCGATTTGCCATTGGAGCATGGTTCATCAAATTTGATGCGGAGGCTTGTCACTTGTGTGTATGATTTGTATGGGAATATAACGTATTTGGATTGCTTTCATGTTTGTTTGATGATTAATGTAATCGGATAAGTAAGTATTTGATGAAATCGGATGAATAAAATGTTGTATAGTTGAGAATTAGGGATAATTTTGCCTGGCTCCGGATATAATTGGCGTTGTATGGAAGGTAATGTTCATGGAACGTATTAGAAACATAGATTAGCCCTTTAAATTATTTTAGAGGAAGTGTTGTTTTGATAAATTTGAAAGAATAGATGTTGAAATAGCTTCCTACATGTAGTTTAATAATTAATATGAAGCGAGAGGTGTTCAAACGAAAATGAACGACCAAATCGTATATGGTCACTTTCCCGAAACCAAACATCGTATTGCTATATAAAGTCATAAGTTTTTTCAACTTAATTAATGTAGTACTGCGGATATAATATTTATTTACAATCGCTCTGTAAAACATAAAACAATTTTGTACATCAATAATTTGTTATAGCTGGAAAACTTTCTTAAATAGGATACGTACTCTATCAAGGAATTGGCCTATATGAAAAGTAGGCATATCTAAGATTTTTTTGGTTGCTTAAACTCGATCACAATTTTCTAAAGGTTTGTTTGTTACCTGCTTACTTAGCCAAATTAGCAAACCAAATTGATCTCTATTAGCACTTGTACGATTGCAAACAGGGGGGAGGATAGCGTAATATATTTGGTTTAATCTTTGTCAATCTTTTGATAATCCCACATGCTATCAGTTAAAGAAAGAGGACTCTTGTTGCAAGTAGATGGTCTTTAATGTAGGACAAATATATACTAATTAATATTGATAATAAATAGATCACAATGGAAATTGTAGGATATCTAAACGTTTTCCATAAAGTGCTTGATGTTTAAACTTCATTAGATTACAGATTACATATATCTAAAGTATACCACTGGTGATTAAAGTTCAAGGTGGCCTGGTGCCACAGTGAGTATTTCCGAAAGTGGGGTGACAAGTAATATGCAAGATTAATGTTGACTGAATACAATAAATGGTTTCAGTACCCATTATCAGGCTGACACTGTCCAAACCTAACCAAACAAGCCCAATATATGTCACTTGGCAGTGGGATTTAGGGGTGAGATGTACACAAAATGACCTCCACACCGAAGAGTTAGGGTTGATCCCATGAAGAACCCCGGCTTTTGAAAAAGAACTTGAAAACAAGAAAGACATTGTCTAAACGAGTTAGAGGTAAGCAACCAAAAATCTAACAGACACAAAAATCTAACAGGCTGACACTACCCGTATTCACATATATATATATATAGAGAGAGAGAGAGAGTCGGATTCATACGAGAATGATACATATTTATGAAAATAAGAAAATGGCTTAATCACATGTGATTTTACACTAACATCAAATACAAATCATATGTGATTCACGCAACCTTGCCATGCGACCTTGCCACGCGGCCATAGGGTCACCCAAACACTTTTTTGACTGTTACTCTAAAATCACATGTGATTTTGTACGTAATTTGGCCATTTTCTTATTTTCTTAAATATGTACCATTCTCGTATGAACCTACGTCTGTGTATATATATCCCCATACATATATATATATATATAAACCTACGTCTGTATATATATATATATATATATATATATATATATATATATATATATATATAAAATTTGTTTGCCTTTGAATAGCCCTTTGTGATTAATCAATATTAAACTGTAAATCTTTGCTCCCGCTGATGAAAATTTATTTCTTCATGAGATCTGTCCAGAGTTTCCTACTTCTTCAATTTGGTATGAATTGGTATTGACGGGCAATTTCATCTTTCACAGTGACTACCTGTTCAAGCTTTTGCTTATTGGAGATTCTGGAGTAGGAAAATCATGTCTACTCCTGAGGTTTGCTGTAAGTCTGTTGGATACTAGAGAAAATATGCTTTGTGAATAATAAAATGGTCTTGCTTCTAGTTATGACTATTTAAGCACTTTTAGCACTTTCAGCCGAGCTTTATATCCTTTACTGTTGATTGAAGATAAGTTGAAAGCTTCTTGATGCACCAGTATCCATAACTAGTACTGCAAAACATGTCACTGAGGTTCTCAATGCACTTCTGCATTGCTATTTGTAGCATTTTTGCTGCATTTGGAGTTCACAGTTTAACGAAGTTCTTACATTTTCTCTTTTCAACTCGTGATCATAGGACGATTCCTACTTGGATAGTTACATAAGCACCATTGGAGTTGATTTTGTAAGTAAATTTCCAAAATTTTGGTTCACTTGTCAACTTGGTGAAACTTAACACAACCTTTTCTTACATTCCATAGAAAATCCGTACCGTGGAACAAGATGGCAAGACCATTAAGCTTCAAATTGTAAGTCTATATTTGATGCGTGTGTTCTCCATTCTCATCCAAGATAATTCAAGCTGAAGGGTTTCTTTCCAATAACACGCTTTTCTTTGCAGTAATTTTTTTTGTTTCTTTCTGTGTTTTATTGATGCACAGTGGGATACTGCGGGTCAAGAACGTTTTAGGACGATCACAAGCAGCTACTACCGCGGAGCACACGGCATTATAGTGAGTGATGTACTTTTTTTGTTCTTTATGTTCTTTTCTTTAGGAATTGTATCAACTCCATGGTGGTTGTATGTCTTCAGGTGGTTTATGATGTGACAGATCAAGAAAGCTTTAACAATGTCAAACAGTGGCTGAGTGAAATCGATCGTTTTGCCAGCGAAAACGTTAACAAACTTCTTGTTGGGAACAAATGTGATCTCGTTAAGAATAAAGTCGTGTCAACCGAAGTAGCCAAGGTAGAAAACTAAATAAATAAATCCCAATTGTATTTGGATAAAAATCGTTCTTAATAGATATGGCTTAAAACCCTATCGGGCTTACTTTTTCTTCAAGGCCTGGTTAAAGCCTTGAAAATCCCAAAAAACCGGGGACTGTAAAAGCCTGATTGGGCCTCTTTTCACACCCAAAGCCCAGTCCGGCTTGGGCTGGAAAACCCCAGGTGTTTTTTGCTTACCGGAAACGGGATTGGAAGTTCCGGACCCAAAGTTCTCTAATGTAGACTTGTAGCGTCAAGACTTTGGGTTCGAGACATGATTCAATTCGTTTGACGATGACTTTAGGTGTTTACTCCCTCCGTCCCGAAATAAATGTCCACAGTTAGTTCACTAAATGACACTTTTACCAGAGATGGGTAGAATGAGAATGTAGACACTTCCTTTTGAAAGTGGATACCTATTTTGAGGACAAATTAAAATGAAAATGTAGATACTTATTTTGAAAGGAGGGGTTATTAAAGTAATCTTGATTATATTGAAATTTGCAGGCATATGCTGATGAAATTGGAATCCCATTCATGGAAGCAAGTGCAAAAGAGGCCACCAATGTTGAACAGGCTTTCATGGCCATGGCTGCTTCAATCAAAGATAGGTAGGCTGGCACAATAATTCCATCCTTTCCTAACTAAGGGGTCGTTTACCAAACAGGTATATCAAGTCACGTTTCTTTATCGGATGAATATAACAAGAACAAAAAATCTTACCTGGTAAGAGCGGGACAAGGAACAAGAGTCTTATCCGGTAAGTGATGTCGACTACTCTTACCACGGTAAGAGCTTATCGGGTAAATTATACAGTGCCGCTTTGGTGGACTAAAATCGTATCTTGTAAGTAAGTAATAATGTTGAATATTATCGTTAAGCACTTATCGGGTAAGTTTTTGGTAAACGACCCCTAAGTCAATATAATAGATAAAAAGTTCCAAAAGTTCAAACTCATGTGGAACCCATCGGACTACTCTCCTATTTTGACCAAAAGGTTGATTTCCAGCAACCCCGATCAGCCCCACATGAAACCCGCCCCCTAGGAACCACATGTGAGGAGGATTTCAGAGCTGACTCAATGGCTGAGGCCGGTAGAGGGGTTCAAGTCCATCTTCCGTACTATTCGAACTTGAACCAATTGTGTATTTCAGTAAAGTCGTCATGCTCCTTTGCCAACTGAGTTACATGCCCGAGGGAATAAACTCGTCTAGCGGGATATAAGACTTTTTTAACACGTTTATCGATCATTCTAACACTTAACAAGTCTAACTACTTGCTTCTTGCATAAATGCAGGATGGCAAGTCAACCTTCGATGAATATGTCGAGGCCTCCAACAGTTAACATTCGTGGACAGCCCGTTAATCAGAGTAGCGGATGCTGCTCATCATAAGCAACTACAACTTGCCTGTATTTCCAAAGGCGTGTGGAGGTAAAATATCTCGTAGTATCCCATCGTTTTTATTCGGCTAAAAAGTTGTACAAAATTAAAAATGTACTTCTCTTTATGGTTTTGGTTCATACATTTTATTCATTATGTGTGTTAGCCATGTGGTTTTGCCATAACTAGTGATCGCAGTAGCAGCCAACAAATTGGATTGAACCAAAACCAATTCCGTCACGGCCATTTGGTTTGACGGAATGTCCTTAACGGATTTGGATTTTATGAAAAGATTTGGGATTTTGGCGTGTCTAGTTTGTAGGATTTGGGTTTGGAATGGAATTGAATTCCATTCTTTATAAATAATTTTAAAAACAAAAACAAGTGTTTTTAACATATTTTAAAACATTATTACAAAGAAATTATATGAAATCTTGTGAAATACCAATTATGTCCATGGGATTTATAAATCTCATGTTTCTAGGATTTCAATAACAGACTCTCCATTAAACCACAAACGGGGAATTAGAATGGAATTCAATTCTAAATCCCATCAAATTCTATAAACCAAACTGAGTCAAAGGTTGGTTTTCTAGTTTTGTCAAGATTAAAAGGAAGTATTCTGTTCAATTTTAACCAATCCGTACATTGATTTTTCAGTTTGGTACGTAAGAACCTCATTTTTGCACTTTTTATTGTCATCTTATCTCTAACTCATCAAGTTAAAAATTCCCCTAAAAGTTTACAATGACAGTTCTTATAAAAACTTTTTTTTTTGTGGGTTCCCTTGATTTTTTTTTCACATCAATAATTATTATAAAGCCAATAAAGTAAAATAAAAAACAAGGAAAATGTCACTTCACACAAATTTCATGGTAAAAACTAAGGTTCTTGTACAAAAACCTAAAGAGGACGAGGTTCTTCTAAGAACTCTTCGTAATAGTAGTTGCTACAAGTCACTTCACTAAGTTGGGGTCAAGCTGGCATGGCTTTGTGCCAATAAAAGCAAGAAAACCAACACTTTGTGATAATATTGGATATAAAAATCAAGAAAATATATAAAAAAGCTAACAGATTATTACTCGACACCAATTTCAAGATAAGAACCAAAGTTCTTGTACAATAAATCAAAAAAGGTGAGGTTCATACAAGAACTCTCTATAATGTTAGTTCTTGTAAGAAGATACATTTTTTTTTCTTATAAGAACCTTGCATTAGAGATGCTCTTACGAGCTATATTATTCGTGGTCAACCCCGTAGGCAAAAAAGAGACAAAGTCCTTGGCCGCTCATTCATTGGTTTGAGTCTCCTTAAAGCCACTCCTTTTATATTATTTTTAAAGTCGTATGGAATTAATCGAAGTACATAGAGGTGTAAAAGAAAACCAAAACCATATATTCCATCCGAACTGAATGATGTTTAGCAAAACGGTTTACCGGTAAACCGATAAGGATTCCTTAAGTTTGCTTTTCAGTTAACTTTTTACTAATTTGATTAAACTTAATTACACATTATGTTTTTATTTTATATGTTCTGTTTATATACAAATGAAATGATATTGTTATGATTTCATACATTTTTTTTTGCTAGATGATGTTTTCTGATTGATACTAAATACATTTTTTTTACTAGATAGTATTCTTTGTTTGACGATGTGAGAATATTTTTCTTGAATAATATTTTTCGTATGCTAGGTAAATTGTCAATGAGCCCTCGAGAAATTGTTGAAGGCAAATGTTTAACAAAAAACTATAAACTCCTAACCTAATTACTGAACCAAATAACTCGAAATCAATCAAACAGAATCTTATTTGGTTTGATTGTCGGGTAGTTTGGGAAAAAGTCGGAAAACTAATTAACCCGAAAACCGATTTAAGCAACCAAACAACACCCCTAAAGTTGCGTCATGCGTGTTTAACTTGAATCCATAATCCATTGTTACCAAAAAAGAAAAGAAAATTGACAGCAGTAGAAAGTGTGAGAACGAGTTATATGATCAAAGGGGAAAGGTGAAAACAATAGAAAGTTTCAGAAGAAACCTCTAAGATAATTTACCTTCTTCTTATTTGAAAATTACCAGATTAATTGTATTAATAAAATATTTCATATATTTAATAAAATATTTATTTCATTTCTAAATATTTAATTTCAAAGTTTCATGTTGATGGGGAATATAATAATAATAATAAAAAATACCTCTCAATCATTTTTTGGTAATTCTCAAGATCTGGAGAATTTCATTCTTGGTTTTGAAGAATGTTGGAATTAATATTGTATTCAAGTCCCTGTGCTGTAACTGTTTAACTGTATTTCAGTTAGTCTTTGTAATAGTTGTTTAGAGGTTGTGTTTGTAACCTCTAGAGTATAGATACGGTATGCTATGTTAGTTTGTTAGTAACAATCATTCATAGACATACAAGCTTAGAACTTTGTATTCAAGAACACGCACTGTATTGAGAGAGAATTGTAATCAAATACAGCCAACATATTCAATCCCACAATTCTTTATTTGTTCTTGATTAATTGTTGTTAATGACTTGATCTGGGATCTACGACTGGTATCAGAGCAAATCAGAAAAAAAAAAGTTTGAATCAAATTGGGAATCAATCAAGACTGAATTTCTTGATTTTTGAGTTCGACATTTTGTGTTTTGAGTTTGTAATCTATTTGGTTCAGTTTTGATTAAATTGGTCATTTTTAATCTGTTTTTGACAAATTGTGTTCACAAAACATGTTCCGAATGTATTTTCAAGCTAATCTATGTTAGTTTTAACATCTAGTTTTGAATTTTGTGGATTTTTGTTGGAAATACTCGAACTTGATGTCATATTCAAGTATATCACCCATTGAAGATTGTACTAAGCGATATTCATGAAGAACATCGCCTGTTGAAGATTGTTTTTATCGATTTTCTAGGAGATATCGCTCATTAAAGTCTGTTGTCTGCGATATTAGAGGATATCGCTCAAGACATAAGCGATATTCGATTATATTGCTCAAGGTATAAGTGAAATTTAAGGACTCCGCTCAAAGTGTGGTATATCGCTCAAAAAAGTGATGATATTTAGGTAAACCCTCAAGTATCATACGGTTTTTGTGAAATATCACCCAAATGTTGAGCGATATTCATGTGAGTTTTGAAGTTTGAGTATATCGCTCAAGTATCAAGTGATATTTGTGAACATCGCTCAAGGGTCAAGGTGGTATCTGTTTTAAGATATATCCTTGACAAGCGAGTTTCTTTGTTGAGCGATATTCTCTTCAAGCGGTTTCCTACTTCAAGCGATATTCTCTAAGTGTCGAGCGGTTTTCTAGTGTCAAGTTAGGGTGCAATATCATATCAAGTTGGGGTGCCCCCAGACCCCCCAAAGGCATTGCCCTGGACTCACCCGCTAACCGGGTAGTGGGACCCACGTGCTAAGTCAAAGTTGATTTTTATCTGAAGGTTTCTAATTCAGTTTAGGATTATTTTCTGAAACGATCAGTTCAAGTCATTTTCATACAATAAAGATGTCAAAGAAAATTCTAAGCATCGGATCTAAATCTGAGGTACTCAATTCTTACAATTCTGAATTCATTAATGACATTGAGTCTATGAATGCTGATTTTAATATTTTAAAACAAAAGCTTAAAAGTGAAAGAGCTTTAATATTGAAATTTCAAACGGAAAGTTATGGTTATAAAGGTTTATGTGAAGATCTGAGACAAGAAAAAGAACATTTTAGATCTGATTTAGAGAAAAAGATTCTTACACTGAAAAGAAATTTGAATGAAGTAGAGGGTGAAAAAGTTGAAACCCAGTTGAAATTTGATTTAATTCTCAATGAAAGAGGTCAATTGCACGACAAAGTCAAATAGTTGGAAGAAATTAATTTTAGAAGAGATCAATCTGAGCAAAATTGAAGATTTTAACAAACAAACCCAAAGAGCAAATCAGATCCAAGAAGTCAAAACCTTTATCAGCTTCTTCACATAAAATCAAACTTGCTTATGGTTCATGTGCTCAAAAGAAAAATCTTCAAAAAAAAAATTCAAAGAAAGAAAAACCATATTTTGTTGATGTTAAATTTGTATGGAAATGAGTTCCGAAACAAATGTATGAATGGCGTGTTAAATCTATATCTACTAATCTTTTTGATGTTAACCGGAAATGACCCGTTATGAAATGGATACCTAAGTGATTTTTTTGCAAACTTCTAGATAAATCAGCCTATAGCTCGGATTTTAGTGTTTTAGCTTCTAAACACATCAGTTTTAGAACCTGTATTTCATTATTTCGACTTTTGAACAAGACTGGAAGAACTCAAGCTACAGTCGTCAGTTTCTGCACAAGACAGTGTAGAACCTGCAGTGCACATTTAGACATACAAGCTATTATTCATAATGATCAGAATAATTAAACTGATGTTCAACCTCTATCTTGTACACACAAATGGACAATAGATCATCCTTTGCACATGTCAAAGGAGAGGCTCAGAAGAAAAAAAAAATTAAGAGCTTATTGGTTATATTTGTTCAATACTAACTTATTTGTGTGAGACTATATTTGATTTCAAGGGGAGCATCAAAATCAAAATTTCGTTCTAACTGGAATCTCACAGGTATAAATTTCTGAACTTTATCTCAATATATTTAGAAGGACAACTTCTGGGTATATTCAAATATTTTTCTTGAATGTGCAAACCATTTCTGTAATCTCAAAAAGATTTTATGATTCTAAGAAGTGTGATTTTAAATGATCTTCATTTAATTTCTGTCTGAAACGAGTGCTATCCTCTGACTAGGTGTATTCTAGAGTCAATACTTACGTATTTTCTCTTCATGCATAATTCTAACACCTAATTCAGCTTTTTTTTATATTGTTATTATCATGTTTCTAAACATGCAAAATTCATTTTTCGATGATAATGCACTCGTTCGTATTCAAATTTGTTGATTTCTGATAAGACTTTAGCTGATTCTTTATTGTCAAATACTTCATAATTCTTTGAAAAACAAATTTGTAATCTGTTCATTTCTTCCTGAATATTTGATCAAATCTAAAATAAATTTTTGATCAAATTGTGCAATATCAGTTTATGAGCTTATTTGCATACATAAAAGTTGCTTCATTATGCTTACATGGAATATCTTAGGTGGAAATGAGAGCTTATACATATATAACATTTATGGACTATCAGAACTAATAGCCTTACCCAAGAGGACAACCATACTGAGAGGTAAGCTAGAATGAAAAATGGGTATGCGTGTTGAGCTTAAAATGAAAAAAAAAAGAGGGGTAGTAGTTGTTAGCTAAAAGAATTAAATGAGGGTTGTATACATGGTTAAAAGAATATCAAAATCCTGATCTAGCTATTATTATTCGGGCAAACCACACAATCTATTAGTTCTCAATTCTTTGGAGACTAATATTGAAAAATGCAAAACCCAGACCAACTCGTGTTTAATACCCCCACCAACTAGAAGGATATATGTTCCCCCCCTTCAAATTTCTTTAATCATCGAGTCTGATAGATTTAGGTAGTCCACAGCTTTATCAATTTGGACTTATTCTAAAGCATTTGTTGTTTTATCTTTCTACACTGTATAAATTTTATAGAATATATGTTATTCTATCATAACATTCATAGATATGTTTCTTTAAGCTATCAATGATTGAATGGAAATTCTTGTGAGATGAACATTAAAAAGTCTCATATTCAAAGTACATCAATTGCCCACAATATATTTGTTATATTTACAGGTCAATCTTTGAATAAAAGATTGAAAACAGACGCATAAGTTGAATCTGGTTTTTCCATTTATGTTCTGAAATGAATTTATTCATTAAGAAATACATAAGTGAATTTGAAAAGATTTGCTTATACTTCTACGAATTGACGGCATAAATTTCACCTTGTTACATTCATTTGTTGGTATGATGTTCATGTTCCTCATTAACATCATAAGGGGGAGATAAAAAAAATGAATGGGAGATTAATAGACGGCTGAGAAGATGATGAGATTAAAAGATGAATGGAGATACAAGTAAAAAGTGTTTAAGGGCGATAATTGAAAAAGATACAAATGGAAGATTTACAATTGATAGACATAAAGGGGGAGATTCAAAGAATATTTCAAATATGGTGTTATCAAAATTATCAGGGGAGATTATTCAAAAGTGCCATGCTAAAGTAAGATTACATGTGTAAGGAGAGATTGCAAATGATAGGGGGAGATTATTCAAAATATGTGAAAGATCAAGATAATTCAGATGATCGCTGAAAGAATCAAGTGTTGAAGAAAGTCAAGCTGTTTGAATATTTCAAATGTTTAAAAGTCAAAGTCTGAACGAATCTATTTTGAAGATTATTTCTGAAGATTGTTGCTAAAGCTGAATATTGTTTTTGGACTTGAATCCAAAGGGAGAGATTGTTAGAATTAATATTGTATTCAAGTCCGTATGTTGTAACTGTTTTACAGTATTTTCAGTTAGTCTTTGTAATAGTTGTTTAGAGGTTGCGTTTGTAACCTCTTAGAGTATAAATAGGGTATGCTTTGTTAGTTTGTTAGTAACAATCACTCATAGACATACAAGCTTAGAACTCTGTGTTTAAGAACACACACTTTATTAATTGTTGTTAATAACTTGATGTGGGATCTACAAAGAATCTACTGGAGCAAAAAAACTTGTCCAAAATCACCAAAATCCCTATTTTGGTTGAATATCTCAGGTGCTGCTGTTAATAAATCTAACAAAAAATCAGACATTTTCAATACCTTCAAACATTATAATCCTTACATCAAGAAAAACCAAGGCATTATGGATGGATAGACAAACTACAAGTGATCCTGAAGTGTATCATCAATGCTACACAAGAACAGCCCGAGTCGGAATTTTTTGGGCGCGATGTAAATCACCTACTTGTAGCGTTCGAATAACGAAGCCATGGTAAGTTATAAAAAATGGAAATCATATAAAAGGTCAAAATCCAGGCAAAACTGAGAGATCAGCTATTCCTCTTGGGAGCTCTGAGATGTTCCTAAGTAGTGCAAGTCTGTTCTTTCTGATCCTTTCATCTTCCTGCAAATAACGACTCGTTACAAAGATATTTTCATTTTACATTACTAGATACTTGACTCGGGCTAAAGGTAAGTCGAGCCATCTTGTCAAAAAGCCAGACAAACGAGCCTAATATGGCTAAGTATCTGAGGGTGTGTTTGGTATGTGGGACAAGACAGGATTGTAACAAACATTTGTGGTCTCACGTTTGGCATAACATTATACTCGAACGGAATGAGACTAAGTGGAACAAAATGCGCCAAAATAAGGGGAAGAAAGATCAGGGAGATGAGACAAAATTAGTAAATTAGTTAGTGTAAGGAACATTTGAATTCTTCCTATTTCATACCCATTTTACCTAATAAATGGGTTTTCAGCTTACATGACATCATGGTTATAAGATCTACCGATCACCACTAAAAATGGATACGGAATTGAAAAAATTGAACCTTTGTTATACCAATTGAAAATAAAATCCATCGTTAAACTAGAAAGAAACTACGCAAACTTCATTGTATTTTGATGCACTTTTTTGGCCTTACAAATTCAATGACATGCTTCATATTCATACGAAGTGAAAAAGATTCAAATTTTTGTTAAGATTTTATCCGTAAGTCATAAAATCAGTTTGTTTGACCTAAAACGTCAAGTGGCTCATTGTTTAGTTCTGTTTTACAGCTATACTTTTAGAAAGTAGACGGGACGTACCACCATGACAAAGACATGAGTGAAGAAATCTTCTAGTGGCTGAATTAGTAGCAAAGAGGTTTCGACAAAATCATCCACCTCAATACCTGAAAACAAAAACAAGTGCATGAGCTGTGCAAACTTCTATACATAGATCACTAAAAACGTTTCGACTATTAGTTTGATGTCTAAAATACTATTCAAGTAACAAGAATCTTATGATCAAACCTAATAAAGTCTATAAACTGCAACCACAGAAACAAGGGGCAAATAGGTCATTTTAGCTTAAAATTTTCGGAAAAAAGTAAAGTAGGACATCCCAAAATGGAAACTGTTGCAGTTTTCATAGGATGGAAGAAATTATCTTTTATAAACAGAAAGATTACCTGGATATATTTTGCTTCTAATAGATGAGAAAGCGCTCCACAAAGCTTTCTCTTCGTTTGTCTCAAACAACGCTTCATCCACCTACAAAAGCAAAAATTAGAATACTTTTAGGAGGAAATGATGTTTAATGAAACAACACGCGTTTTATCCCTAACTACTTGGGCTAGGCTAGAACTGACGTTCAAGAAGCTAACATTCAAACCAAATTGTCATTGGCCTAGTGGTATCCGGGTTACTGGTAGATCCCGACCTCCAAGGAGGTCAAGGGTTCACACAGGTGAAGAGTGTGCGTGAGTTTTGCCATATATGCTTCAAGAGGAAAAAAACAACATACAAAAAAGAGTTGCAAAAGAAACGAACGTGAAAAAGGCAGTGTGCAGTTTCTGCACTTCTTTATGCTGCATAACTCATTTTTTCATAATATAACTGCATCATGCAGGATTTGAATGATAGCTGATGAATGAAAAGATACCTGTGTGTCAACATCGACATCCTTTCCACGAACAATTCTTGTTGGTCGAGAATATGCTTCAACAACTTTTGGCAAAAGCTCACCCCGTGACAGCGTTTCCATCTGTATACAATGGCTTGAAAGAAAATCTTCGAGGGGCATGAAAAAGATTGTGTCAAGAAAATGGGTTGCTTACTTTATAAGCCGATTTTGCAGCCAAACCAGGCCAATTTGCACGCTCTACTAAAATCGCACGAACCACTTCCGGATTTATTCCCTTATCGACCTAACAATGCCAAAAAAAGACGGATTAAATCATGCAATCAATTTATCACTCTTAAGTACTTGAACAACATCTGACTTTAGAAAGTCACATGAGTCGATTTTAAACTTCAAAATTGACAAGAATCATGTTTCTTGTGTATAAGAATTGATGACAACCTTTTAATATATATGAAACATAAAACGACAAAAAGATCCTTGAAAATTTTGAAGATGGAAAGTACAATATTCGAATCTCTAAAATTAAAAGAGACATACCAGAAATTGCTCGAGTCTTCGTGTCACAAATTGATGAACCTATAATTGGATAAAAGAAAATGAAAAATCGCTTCTTCATAACTAAAAGTAACATGCAAATGAAAAATAAAGATGGTTAAATATGACAAAAAAAATTAATGTAAAGAAAATAAATAAGAAAAAGAGTATAAGTATTCACCGATCATTGCAAAGGAATCCTCCTTCCACCCCAAAATAAATGCAATGTTTAAATGAGCACATATTAATGAAAATAGATTGACAATTAATCAATGTCCAAAATGTCATTAACATTTTGTAATGATGACTAAAGGGTAAAGAAGAAATTTCGTACTCCAACTTCGCCAAAAAGAGAAATGTTGCCTTTCTTTTGGAACAAAGGAATTTTACTATTTGGCACATATTTCAGAGAGCATTATGTCAGTTTAAATAAGAAACCCGATTTTGGAGATAAACATCTACTTAAATTTCACTTATTATCAGAATTAGCGGTAGTGATGAGGGTCCACAAGGCTTCACAGTTTGTCTTCACCAAAAGGGTATTTTAGATATTTGACAGATAGTAACATTTTACTCAAACTAGGTGTCAAGTCAAACGTTGCAGTTTTTATAAGACGGAGTAGTAAGAACAATAAAAGAATATTCTTACCTCATCTATTGTTACCGTGTCTATTTTTAAGGATTGAACAGAAGCTGCGACTTCCAAGGCATGTCGTAAATCCAAGTTTCTATCTTTTTCCACCAAGACTTGGACCTGAAACAACAGATCAATATTTAGAATCAATCAGAAGTCAACAGATAGGAGTTGACTAATTAAAAAGTCGAATGACTTACAAGACCATAAGAGATTCTTCGTAGACCAAATGGGTCATTAGTCGAGCTTGGTTGACAACCAGCTCCGAACAAACCAACTAAGCTATCTAACCTGCCAAATTGATCGAAACCCAAATAAAAATGATGCATTTTAAAGACAGAGACCCTTGGATACTTGTGGTCAAATGGACCGATTTCAACTTCAAAATAGACGTAATTTCTTCGAACTTTTAAGAATAAAAATGGATAGCCATTTCAACTCGATAGCAAACACAACAAACAGAAAAAAAATTAGTGTTACATATGTAAAAGATTCCTTGATCATCTTTTGACTACAAAAAAAGTCAAACCTCCCAACTTTTCCTTCTTTCTTTGTCCCTTTATCTTGTGGAGAATGGAGGAAATATCACACACGCACACACACACTCTTCTATATGCATACAAGTTTTATAGTTCATGCTATGTCCATAACTTTTCAAAAGCATATTACCTGTCGGCAATCGATAATACAGTTCCTGCATCAGTTTCTGGGAGTATATCGCCAGAAAATCGAGGAAGTGTGATCTCAAACAACGCCTCCGAAACCTGATATATTTCACAAGAACATAGTCATGCATCTGTCTACATGTCAACTTTTTGACTGGCAATGAGTGAAACAATGTGGAACAACAAAGTGCAATTAAATTTCACGAATCTGTATTCCCAAATAATAAAATCGAAACAAAAATATGGTCAAACTAGAAGCTAACATAGACACAAAATGCATCATGGAGTGATTCGATAACCTGTTCTGAATATCCTTCACGAAGAGCATAGTGACGTGCCATTATTCCCGATAGAGAAGTGAACTCTGTAACGACAGCAGTTGAGAGATCTGACATTGCCAGTGATGCAGCTTCCCGAGTAATCTGGATCTTATCTTCACTTAGCCCTAGAGCCAAGCCGAGCTCATTAATAGTACTCTCGACACGTATCATCTTATCCTCCATTGTTCCAAGTTTCTCCTGCATATGCTCATGTTATTAAAAGATAAGAGAGAGAAATCAAACTGAACGAACCGAGTATCTCCAATGTATGATGGGGTTTAGGGAGGGTAAGATGTACACAGACCTAACCTCTACCTAAAAAGGACAGATAAAAATATGAAACGGCTGCAACCCATAGCAAACAAAGGGGTGAACCCCCTACCCTCGGTACATGAACGACATCCTGTCAATGTTACACTCCATATGCTTTTTATTTCGGCATAATATAAAACCTTCAGATTTCATCTTCTTGGAAACAACAAAGAAACTTGCAAGCCCTGTTAGCAACATGTCTCAAATCCATGACCATCAGTTCAAGAGACTCGATTAGTACCAGTTAGACCAAATATCAGCTGTTAAAACCTTAAGGTGGCGTTTGGTTCGCAGATTCTGAAGGAATCTGATGAATTGGAACGTTGAATTCCATTGACCAAATTTCATTCCCTCGTTTGGTTTATTCTTTTTCACGGAAGAAATCTTCAAAATCCTACAAATTCCACAAATAAAAGAATTTAACATTCCTTAGCAACTACATAGTATTTTGATGGAATGAAATTCTCTATATTCATAATACCAAATATGCCCTCAACCTAATATACCCTAACCTCATAAAACCCAATATGACCATTGTTGACCACCATCGATCTGAATCACCTCCGATCACCGCCATCTGAACCATTGCCGATCACCACCGCCGACTACCACCAATCTGAACCACCGCTGACCACCACCGATCTGAACCACCGCCAACCATTATCGATCTGAACCACCGCCGGCCACCGCCCATCTGAAGCACTACCGTCGATCACCGCCATCTGAACCACCAAGGACCACCACCGATATGAACCATTGTCGACCATCTCCATCTGAACCACCATCACTCACCATCGATCTGAACCACTGTCAACTACTACCGATCTGAATCACCACCGACCATCACTGATCTGAACAACCACCGATCTGATCCATCGTCGATCTGAACCAACCCCGAGCTGAACCACATCCGACCACCGCCACCTAAAGTACCACCGACCACCACCGATCTGAACTGCTGCCGACCACCAACGACTACCACTGATTTGATTCACCGCCGGACACCGCCAACCACCAACGATTAGAACAACCACCAATCTGAACCACCACCGCCACCGTCGATCTGAACCAGCCACTAACCACCTCTATCTGAACCACCGCCGACCACCGCCATCTGAACCACTTCCGTCCACTACCGATCTGAACCACCGCCGACCACCATTGATTTAGTAACGTTGTTTGACTTATGGTTATATTTGGGTGTATATTTTTTTATTGTTTTACATATTAAATAATTATTTTATTAAAGTATTTTTAGTTTTAAAAAATTAAAATTTTCAAAAAAGGGCATTTTGGTTATTTACCAATATTTCATTCCAATTCCAAAGCTACATTCTATAAACCAAACAGACAGATTCCAATTTCTTAAAAAATTCCATTCCAATGTCTGCCAACCAAACAGGTGGTTAAACCTAACAACATTCCATTCCAATTCCTTCAAAGTCAAATTCTTTTAACAGATTCTATTCCATCCAAAAACATTATGTGAATGAAACGCCACCTTAGACTCTACAATTTTCAATCTCCAACTTCACATTGACTCACTATGTGGTCATACATATCTTTCTCCTACAGCTAGCAGTCATACAGAGATCACACCATATCACATCAATTTACTTATAGATTCCATTTATCCTTGATATTACTCCATCAGCCAAGGACAAAAAACGATGTTATTAAAAAGGAAGAACAAGCATACAACATAGAGATAACTTATAGAAATCAGTAAGGTCGACCCCTTTGTAATGCAAAGTTATGGGTCTGAGTCCTGAAAAAATCACTTTGTAGATGCTAGGGGAAAACTACATACAACAATTTCCCTCTCAAACCCTAGCAAAGCTGAGGAGCCTTGATGCACCAGAGTCGCCTTTCACAAATTGATATATACACACACGCATAAAATAGCACAAAGAACCAACTGAACAGTTGGATGATCCAGAAAACGATAACTATTAGCTATTGTAAAGAGAGTGTGCATTTTTGGTTCAAGAAATTAAGGGTCAATGAGATGTGTAATTTGACATCTTCAATTAATAAACTTTTATCAAGAACACAGAGTAGAAAAAACTTACATGAAATAGAATTCCATTCAGTTGACCCCGGAACTCCGAAAACCTTTTACTAGTGTCTAGTTCATAAAAGAACTTAGCATCTTCATATCGAGCTCTGCATTGAAGAAGATTACTCGATTCATACAGTTAATATACCATGGAAGAAAAGAAATTGAAACGTGAAAGAAAGATAATACAAACCTGAGTACAGCTTCATTTCCTTTCTTAACAACCGACTCGTTGATTGCCCCATTTGCAACCTGAACAAAAATCAATCAGAAAACGCCAGTGAAATCCACATTGACGTAAATATAATTTCAAATGCATTAATTGCAGTTTAAAACTGGAATTTATATCTCACAGCAATGAAATATGGCAACAGAGTTCCCTTATCGTCTGTCAAGGCAAAGTACTTCTGATGCTTCTGCATTACCTGCAGAACGAATTTAACTCAAGAAATAACCCCAAAAGAAAAAGAAAATACATTTGATCTCGTTGACAATGCACATCTCACATTCCACAGTCACAACTGATGCATAGGTGGATGGGTAAAAAGAGGGATAAGACTAGGGTGAGATTAAGAATCTGACTAGATCAAGGATAAAGTACTTAAACACCACCAAGATTAATCAAATTGGCGAAAGTCGATGTTACTAGTGATAAAGCAACAGCACCACACTAGCACCAATCAAGAATCGACTCCTTCTGTATATGAACACTCAAAACAGCTTCACAAGCTATTGTAAACTCATTATTCAGAAAAGAGATGCCTTCCTACGACAACTTGGAATCGCATATGTCGGCTGGAAGATTAAAATAAACATAACTCTTGAAAAATGAGAAGACTAAAGAAAGACCAAAAGTTGGAAAGCAATTAAAGGACTATTAATGAAGCATATATGACGAAGAATCTTAATCTCCTTTGGGCTGCCAGAAAATTATAATCCTCCGTTTAATTGTTTCGAACCCAAAATAAGAGTCTGAATCAAACCCAAGGTGACCGGAGACATAAAATGGGCTGGTCTTGTACTGGCTGAAAATAACATGGATGCCTCTGCATCAACAACACTTGTACGACCAATGAAAATTACGTTATCTCTTGGTTGGCTTTTATCGGCAACCAGTAAACAGAGTTTAGTAAGTACAATAGCAGTCAATGACTGCATTACTAACATATGTTTATGTAAAGCAGAAGGAAATGGATCTACGTTATTGAATAAAACGGAAATGCAAGATTGCTGAATATGCTTTAAATTCAAGTTAGGGGACCCAACTTACAACCAGGCCTGAACAAAAGTTTATGGAAAACTGGAAGGAGTATTAATCAAATATCTACAATACCCTTGATAGTGATATAGCAGAGAGACCTGGTAGATCCGAAACCAAAGCTATTAATATGTTGTATGGATTAATGATGAACAAAGAGGTAAGTTTGGGGTGAAACTGTTAGAACGTCAAATGTTTCTTTAATTTTGAGACATCCCAAAGAATATGTTGCATTTATTTGGGGATGAAGGGAGTAACACATATCTTATCAATCTTAGGGCAATAGAGTATTAAGTAGTTCACCAATGGACATGAAACATATATATTTGAACATAAGAGTATGTAGGAATTGTGTCACAACATCTCGATAGCCAGTTTAGGAAAAGAATTGAAATACTTTGCATTTAATTCAAGTACTTCATATAGCCACTGGCGGGTACATACATTGACATTTTTATTGAGTAATTATATATTGTTAGAATTGACAATATCCCATGCACACAATAACTTTCACAGAAATCAAACAACCAAACAACAATATCTATGCAATGAAGTAATTTGCTTTTATCTAGGTGCACTGATAGGACTTCACTGGTAAAAAGATGAAGGCTGGCACCATTTATAAACCTAATTCAAACAAAAAATATTCAACAACTTTTACGTGGATAAGTAATTTGCTTACATCCACGTGCACTAGTAGGATCATATTATATTTCATGAATCTGTAATGATATGGCCCCATTTATAAAGCAAATTGAACCAGAAAATGGACCACATGATAATTGTCTTTATTTTTTATAGCCATATTCTGAAATATTTTGGATCCATGGAGTAGTCAACCTATTTACAATCCCAATTAAGCTCCATACCTAACGTATAGACCAAATTATATGCAAAACATATATAGACCAAATTATATGCAAAACATACATACTTTCAAAAGAAAAATGGCATACCATTACTAATAGATCTTTCGGGAGCACTAGGAAGGACTCTGAAAATTTGCCAAGCACTGGAACAGGTGCCTCAACAAGGTTTACAACCTACGTTCATTAGCACAAAAACTAGGTAAAATATTTTGGGGAAACTGAGATTGAGGAAGACAATAATATATCAGTTACCTCCTCAAGTAAGCTGCTCTGCATCACAAGACATCCACCAACACCTTTTGCTAAATTGTTGGATTGTTCTAGAATTGTTTTCTTTCGTTGCTGCAGCAAGAAATATTAGCATGCCTTATTTTTATGCATTTACCATCAATAATAAACAAGGCATACACTTTTAAGTCACCTCAGTGTCAACAGAAATTCCAGCTTGTTGCATTACAGTGGCATAAGACTCTGCACTATCGACCTGCACAAAATAAAAATATCAAACAAATGAATTAACAGCTTCGTTTGAATCGGAAACTTATAAGAGTAACCAATTTAATCATATTACTGAATGACCCTCGTAAATTGCAGAAACAAAAGATTATCTCCATTCCAAGGAAAAGAGAGAGATACATTATGACTCTTACAGTTTTACTTCGTTTGAACTGGAAACTTACAAGGGACCACCATTTTCTGTAAACAAGAATTCTAATATCTGATTTAAAAAGATAGAGGCACCTTCAGAATTATAATGACTTAAAAAGCTTTTTTTAATGGTTCAATAATACTTTTTTAAGATGACACAAACTTTGGCACCAAGTTATTGATCATTTCAGATAGACATCTTGTCTAGTTTGAAAATTTAAAAACAAAAATAAATATGTTGGTCAGAATTATGCCACCAGTTTTTCTGTCTTCTCTTGTAATGTATGAGCAAAACATATTTCAAAAACTTCAAAGGCTCTGGTCTTTAGAGACAGAAGCTTGACCATTTCTCATATTTGAAATCTTGTGAAAGAAATTACAATAATTTTTTGGTCTGCAGTCTTGATCATTGAGTGTAAAAAAATCAAGTGTAATGTAGTTGATAAGCTTTTCTTCACAAATACAGACAATTAATCTATCTGGGTACAAAGTTAGGTTCTGTTTGCTTTTGTGTCCCATCTATTTGTGTATGAGATAAAAAGAGGTGATTGTGGGTCCCGGACTCCCAGTTTACCAGATGAGAGAAGAAATGAGGATGTAACCCGCAAAATGGAGAAAATAGTATAAATGAACAGATCTTCATTTGCTTCAATCTTAGAAGTACCAAGAAAGAACACAAGAAGATAGCAAGGTCCATGAAAAATTTGGAAACTACTTTTAAGAGAATTTGGTACTCAATGACTAATGAGTAATACTGAAATTAACATATCAAACATACCATGACCGTAGCCGAGTTTGTATTCCGGAGACCATGAGAGATGTTACCACTGCAGCCAAAAAAGAAATGTGTGAAGAATAAAAAGAAGACAACGATACACCAAGCAAAAATTCATCTTGATAATGAGGTTCTGCTATCTTTTAGATGTTTGTGTGACAAATCCATACACCAAGTTTATAACTCTTGTTGTCTTACATTAACCTTCGTCTCCCCCAAAAAAACTCCAAGTGAAGAATGGACATTCTAAAGGAATATTTCACGAACCTACATCTTTAAAAAGCATAACACATCTTCGTAGAAAATGACACCGAACACAGATATGTTTTTCGTGTAACAAAGTTTCCACCCAAAAACATACAGAAACCAGGGGCAGAGGCATTAAAGGGACATCTATAGTTTACATATTTTTATTTCAAGAAGAAATTGATACAAACAATTTAGAATTTAAGCGTATAATTACAAAACAAAGCAAACATAAAAAATGAAGGGAAGATTGTTAAAAATAAATAGCATATTATAAACAGCATCAGATTTGAGTCCAAAATAATCCTCTAGTTGTCACTATTAAGGGTATCTTAGTATTTGACTGATAGTCAAACGCTAACCTTAAACCATGTATCCAATCAAACATACTCTTGCATGCTTAACAATATAAATTTGATTCCTCTTTGTTCCTTCCCTTTATATTTTTTAGTTCTTCGTGTCCCTATTCATCCAGCAATCAAACAATTCAATTAAGCAAAAGTCACCAGGGCTAATGATCAGAACGAATTTCTTATAATCGACTAAATTCTTAATAATTCGTCTACCTTTGCCCCTTATAGAAAGCCAAGCAAATCTGATCTATATTTTGTCTAACGCACATGCACAAATTCATGAAGATAAAGATAAGAATTGCATGAAGTAAATACTTGCCTCAGAATACCAGCATATGCAAAAGGGACAACTGCATCTCCATGGAGCGCCAAAATCCAACGAATAGGTCGGCTAAAGATGACCTAGATGATAGCATAACATCTGATTATTCACATGTTACAAAATCATTTAGTTTAATCAAAGCAGAAAAAGTAAAGCTACTAGAAACTAGAAAGAACTGTAACTTGAATCAACAAAGTTGTGCTTAGAGAAAAAGAAGATCCAAATGTGTGTTCTAGTTCATTACAGGATTTGACCATACGCATTCAATTTGACAAGGATAAATCTAAAGTCTATTTAGAGGATTATTAAAATCAATAAATCTTATTATGATCCTACTCGATCTAAGAATTTTAGTTGCTAGGAAAACCTAGTTACTTGCATGTAAGTAAAGACTGGGTTTCCGAGAAGCTACCACCGCATCCATTTCATTATTTACATGGGTTTTAGACTTTTTAACATTTAAAAATTTTACATGTAAAATTTAAACCCAAAACTATTATATGCCATTATTTATATAGTAATTTAATCATATATATGAGTTATGATAACAAACATTAAGAAAATATTACATGTATAAATTGTGGTACGATATGAATATGCTGTAAATCTTTACACAACAATATCAGTAAGTTAGAGATGTTATTTTTATTACAAATTATTCCATAAATTAGAAAACCTAAAAGAATAGGGAATCCCGCTACAAATAGTGAAGTCTTGATGGAAGGGAATTCATTTTATAATATAGTACAGTTTATTTGAAAGATATAGATACAACAAAAAGCTTATAAATAACAATTATGCCTTCAGAAGTTCCAGGTAGGTAGTTACAGGGGACACACCTCGGAGTTCCAACGCATGGACTTCGGAAATGATACTTTAGCAATTGCACCAGGAAGCTCCTTTGATAAAACCTAGCAGAAATTAATACAAGAGCAGATTCATTAATCTGATCAGCAAATTTCATGAAACCATGGATGACTTGAGGGCGTCACAGAATGCACCATCCGGGCAAATGTTTTTTCCAGCATTAAAGTAAAATATCAAAACAAATGAGCAAATAAGAAATATTAGCTACGAGTCTTTCAAAGAAAATACCCTTCAACAAAAACAAATGGAGGAACCTTGTGAACCTAAATCAACGAAATCAATTTATTTGTGATGATACTAATGAGCAAATAAGAGAGTATTAGCAACGAGTCTTTCAAAGAAAAAAAGGAAGGTTGCAATTTTCATGCCAAGGAGGGGGTATTTCTTATTCTTAATTCAATTAGGTAGTGGCGTAGTGCAAACTGCAAAGCAAGGAAAAAAAAATGCCGGTCAAATTCCATGAATTGCTACAGTCTTCCCTTAGTTAAATAGTCTAGTAGAAGCCTTTATTCTTCATGTACTCATGATCTTTGTTTCTGTGTTTAGTCAGGGATGAAAACCATTTCGGAGCAAGTGGATGTGCAGTTAGAATCGAAGATAACACTAATAATTGTAAGAAATAAAAGAAACTCAAATACGGTATGTACATGGTTCTATAGTTTGCCTACATCCACATCGTTGCTAAGGAAGATTACCCATACCGTAACAACAAAAACCAGACAGCAAAACAATAGACAGAAAAACCGTCATCCTACCTCCCTAACCTTTGTAACCGTTTTCTTAAAGAAGTTAGACTCACAAAATCATAGACAACTTCTCAATCCAAATCAGGCTCCATACATGTTGCCCAGATTCAATGTAATTTATATAATCCCCATATTTTGGTCCTGGCGCTTCTCGATAGTATCGAGTTAATGTCGAGTTTTTTTGTATATTGGTACTGTCATGAGAGATGAAAATAGCGAAGAATGCATTATGATCCATGGCCGCCTGCCTGGTGGGGAGGGGATTGTCGAACACGGAAAGAATCCAATAACTTCGAAAGAATTGAATTTGAGATTATTGCAATGAAGAGACTTCATGTAAACTGGTTTGACTAGCATGCTTCGTCCAGTCGGAAAGTGTTTCTCTTAGTTTAGAAGATAATCTTAGATTTTGGACATATAAATCTAGATTAGATAGTAGTCAAGTGTCACTAACTTTTAACAGGAGAATATGCAAAACCAATGGCATGGAATTTGTGAAACACACATATAGGGATGGAGCAGTGAAGGGGTTGCCACCCTGAACTTGGTATCATGACCCGTTGGTCCCTTTAGGTTCATTAAAAGTTAATGTTTGGCCAGCCTAAAATTTGGAATTTAATAAAAAGCTTCATACTACTTTGTATATTTGGTACATTGACTAGACAAATAACATTTCTACAATTTATAAATTCTAATTCCTGTGTAACTTTATAAGGTTGTTACATGAACAACCATAACAAAAATGAATGAAAAGACTGTTCAACTTAATAAAATTTCACTTAATCCAGAATTGCAAGGTACGAGAAACAAATTATGTTTGTTCTATTCTTTTTATGTCTTTATCCTATGTCGACATTATGTATAGTGCAATCGGATCAGTAAAGGGGTCTATAGTTCATATATTCTATATCTTGCCTTTAATATGGTATACCTTGCCTTAACTTTATTCTAGCTTCCTCCCTGATCAGACACATTTGCTGGTGAAAACATGTAGTAACTTAACGTATAGAATGGGAATATAGAATATGAATGAAAAGTCAGACAATCTACAAACATAACCCTTCTCCAATATCAACAATTTCAAGCGAGGATATTTGCATATGTACCTCCAGAGCAAGCTGTGCAGATTCCATCACACGAACATAGACATACTCTGTCTTACCTATCATAACAAGAGAAATTTACTATTTTGTTATTACATAAAGTTAGGTTGAGTGAGATCCAAGTGATGATTATATAACATGTCACATCATCATAGCAGATTCATTGTTCCCTTGTCAAAGGTAAAAAGCTTCTTAATAGATTTCGAATCTTTGAACGTTGACTGCCCAGATTCATGTTAATTTATTCAGGGAAGCTAAAACGATTGACTACACTCATGACTTTGGAAACATAGCCCATATTTTCAATTTTTCATCACAAAATTGTAACATTGGCACCTTTGGTAACATCATGGCAAGTGGCTCCTTATTTGTTAGGCAAAAAAATGATATTGAGGCTGCCTGACTGTATAAAATACACCCTTCATCGCATGCAATCTTGACAAAAAAAACATATACATGATACAGAAGCTACATAACCTCTGATAAAAGGAATACAGCAAGAAAAAATAAAGCATGCTTTAGTACCTCTTGATTATAAACACACATAGATCTAGGGATAATTCTTATTAAGCTTTCATAAACTTCAAAAGATAGAAAGAATTACGTCCAAGTTTATCATGGTAGATTGTTCAGCAATGTCTTTGAAGATACGGCAAGCCAAGAAAGCAAGATAGAAAAAAGCCTTGCCACAGATAAAAAGATATACCTTCAGTTCTTGTATACAATGAGTCCACTGGTACGGAATTTTTACGGCAAAAGCCTTCGGCTGCCTAATAAATGGAAAAAATAAGTCAGTCAGTTCAGGCTCAACTTCGTTGAAGATATGTCATAAATGAAAAAAATATGTCATAAGATTGGCATGCACAGGGTGTTAAAATTCGTTGAAGATATAAGGGAAGCAACTCAACTAGGCATTCTCCAAGATGGAACAAAGGTGGAGCTCTTCAAATTATTTAATGTGTGTGTGTTTGGGGGGGGGGGGGGGGGGGTGGTTTAAGGTAATCATTGTGTATGCTATTATTAGATCATAAAAAGCACACATACCTACTCTTCCAGCCACATAAATTACTGACAGGCTTTTAAGCCATATTCGTATTATTACGAGTGACCTTCCATTAGGCTTGTCCATTTGAAGTGAGATAGATCATCTCCGTCCCCCTCCCAACAAAAAGATCACCACATACACAAAGATCATTAGAGGAATGACACCATTATTCGTTGTTTGTTCTTGCATATTCATTGGTCTGCAATTGATTCATGTTTCATAAACAACATCTCTTTCCTTCATCATGGATTCGACCAGTTGAAAGTCGTTCTCTTGATATCTATCTTCAAATATTCACAACTTTGAAAGTTCTCCCGTCTACAAACTCATTCAAACTGTACCCAAATGAAGTTGTATGCATTCCCTCACTTTTACATCAAGAGTATTTCTATATTCAGATTTGTTGGAACACGACTCATTATGGTCTAGCAATGAGAGAATTTCAATTCTCGTTACTAATTACTTGAAATTTCTACAAAGTGAATATGCAGACCAAGTATGAACGGAGGTTGAAAGAGAATCTTCTACTTAAAGACGAAATATCAAAGATAAAAACCTTATAGGAACGAAATACCTTAGTTGGCTTTCCTTGATTATCAAACGCTTTTGAAACTGGAGGTCCTCGAACCTCAACTTCATTCGCCACTTGCTTAGAGCATAGGTTCTCAACACTTATCTGCAAACACCAACATTGAATTACCAAGAAAGTTGACAATCAAGAACAAGGTTTAACTAAACAGTACAGATCATATAGACAAAATTAAAAAGATAACAACAATAAAATCTTATATCTCAAAGGATCAACGACATAAATAATGATTCACAGTAAAGCATAAGAACTCATTACTGAAAAGGAACTAAGCAAAAAGAAGAAAAGGAAACCGTACTACTAGTCTCCTTGGGGTGCCAAGTACAAGAGCTTCACCATGAGTCAACCTTTGCTTTCCAAGTAATTGCACAATTAGATCTTTGAGCTGAAACATATCGATCATAGCCAGTGATACGTAATTAGAAGCAAGTTACATAATTGAGAATGAGCTACGATTAGTAATGCATCATCAAGTTTAGATATGTGTAACAGCTGCGAACAAGAAAAGAGCTAAATCGACCGTAGTGAAGTGATGAACATACTTGCTGGCCTGCACTAGCAACATCATTTGGTGGTAACTCTTCTGTCCCGATCTCAAGAAGAAACAATCTTGGTTCAATAGACACCTGTACCTCAAAAATCATAGAAACATTATGCCAATGTCAGCTTATAGTGACAATTCATTGGATGGAGAAAATAAGTAGACTCCATCCAACCCAAGGAAACCTATTACAGTTTACACAGAATTCAACAAAAAGCAAGTACAGGAGTTGATTAGGATCACTTTAGTTGTGAAGTATTTCCTCCGTGCCATGAAGAATGCAAGACCTTTCTTCACAGAATGTCTCATACAAAATCACAAGATTTCCTCATAAGCACCATTTTTCATTACCATGATCATAAATTAATTAATGATATTGATTTGGGCACAAGATTCCTTTATTTGTATTCATACAAGGGTCTTTTAAATATTAGATAGATAGTCAAATGCTATAATTTTCTTGGGACGGAGATGGTAGTAAATGGCAAAGAACAATGATAAAAAAGAATTATAACAAGAATGAACGGTAAACCATCAATTTCAGAGTAAATATATTGACAGAAGATTCTTGGAGATCCATTAAAATCCAACAATATATAAGCATTTGTGTTATCATCTCTCTCCTAACACAATACCTTCAAATTAATTAAACCAGAGTTAAAGGAGAAAAAGTAATTGTAATGCACCTTTGTGGCTTCTGAGTCTAGAACCTCCTTGGGAATGACAAGGTCATTAGCTTGAGAAACAATGCCTAATGGATATCCAAGTGACTCTCTTGTATTCGACCAGAGCAGGGCACATTGTCGAGCTAAACTGATGGGAAAAGAAGGGCGAGAAATGTTACATACTGAGGGTGATTCTGTTCCATTCTTGTATGTTCTTCACAAAAGAGACACAGAGATAAAGTGTGTTCAAGAAAAGGAGCAACCTGCGCATCCGGCCAAAATAACGAGCACGTTCTGTTACCCCAACAAAGCCTCTAGAGTCTAAGATATTAAAAGCATGAGAAGTCTTGAGAAGCTGATCATACCTAGAAGTTCAGCAAACATGTGATATCAGAGTGGACAAAAATGTGTGTGTGTGAGAGAGAGAGATAAAGGGGAAACAGAGCACAAAAACATACGCAGGTATTGCAAGGCCTAAATCAAGCAAAGCACGTGCTTCTGCCTCAAAAAAGTCGAAGTGTTTCTGAATATGATCCACACTAGCATGCTCTAGATAATATGCACTCATTTCTTTCCTGAAACACAAGCATACAACTTAGTAATGTTCCAAAAGCTAAGACTAAAACAAGGACAGATGAAGGATGTAGACTTGGTGATGACAACACAATGAATAAAAGAAGACAAAAATAACAGTGGAAAGCAAAAAGTAAGCAAAATGACCAATTGCAGACAAGTCAGATGAAGTCATGAAGATCAAGGGTAAAAAAAGGCATGTGTAGAAATGTATGTGCAAAGACTTCCATATCGTTCCTGAAGTGCTTCCATTGTCATTTTTGTAAAGTTGCTATCTGATCGGTAACGTGCAAAGCCAGTTGTACACTTATTAACTTATACTCCCACTCTTTTCTTTTTCCAAGAAACTTATACTCCCATGAAAATGGCAACACTTTCCATTTTGGGACGACCAATGAAAATGGCAATATTTCCCTTTTTTGGGAAATTTCAAAGTTAATTACCATTTACCCATTGCCATTGTTACAACTCTTTGATGCTAATGATTTTGGTCCACATGATTCTCCAAATTTGTCAATATTTGATGGCATTTAAACCATTTGATTAGTAGTTGAACAATTTCCTAAAATTGTATCGGTCAAATTGTGATAACCGGGTCCTGGTTATGCACCTGAGGTAATTGTTATGTGATTACYTGATTATATGATCACGTGAATATTTGATTAATTGCTATAATTGATCATGTGGATACATGCTTACATGAAATTAATATGAGTATGTGTATATTTTTCATTCATGGAAGGTATGTATATGTATTATGCATGAAAAGTTATATGTATGCATGAGTATGCATGGTTTAATGGTGGGTCTATGCATATTGATTATTATGCATGCATGGGAGTATAATAAAAGAGTTTTATATGTATTTCTTCAACCGCCTTTCCCTTTTTGGGAAGGGTATAAAAGAGGTTCAAGTTGGAAGGAATGGTTGTTCTGGCTATTTTCGGAAAGTTAAGAAAATTAAATCTCTGTGTAGATTTACCATATTTGGAAACTGAAGTTGGGGATCAATCTGAAGTTGATTCGTATTTGTTGTTTTCTTCTTCAAAATCAATCTTGCAAAAAGTGAGTTTTGTTTTAAAAACAGCCTTTGAATATTGTTAAGATTACTGGTTATATATATATATATATATATATATATATATATATATATATATATATCTGGAATTGCTGTTGAATGCATTTGGATATAGATATGTGTTCTTATGGAAACTCATTGATCGATAAGGACCTGTAATCGGACAGTGTGCTGTCCGATGAGGGCTCCTTACCGGCCAAGCTTTGACCGGTGTGATGTTTAATATTTAACTCATCATCCGATGAGGACTCCTCACCGGTAAGAGCCTTGTCCGGTGAGGGAATGTATGGTATTATGTATTGACCGGTAAGGAAGTTATAATCGAACAATGTTGTCCGATGAGGACTCCTCACAGATAAGGGCTTTGACCGGTGAAGGATTAGTTGATTAACTTCGTGTCCGATAAAGGTATGTCCGGACAATTGGTGTCCGATGAGGTTGTCCGGATATGTTTTGTCCGGATAAGAGTTGACCGATGAAGAAGAGTTGGCCCAAAACTTGTAGCCAATGATGGTATTGCATAAGTATTATGTAATCAGTTTTAAACTATTTTATAATAAAAAAAGGGCATTTTTGTATCTTTTAAATAAGAATTGTGAACTAGAAAAGATATTAATATTTTCTTTCAAGACGTGTGTGACGTAAGTTTGTTCTGGCATGAAACTATGTTTTAAATGTTCCTTCAGAACGTGTGTGACGTAAATCTGTTCTGCTATGGAACTAGGTTTCTTCAGAACGTGTGTGACATAAGTCTATTCTGATTTGAAGAAAAAATTAAGGTGGAAATAAGGGTGGCATATCAAGGAGAGGTGTACCTATGGATATAAGGGTGGCAATTGTGGGTGTGGTTAATATTATAACTTTTGTTGTTATCACCATAAGACGCAATAATTCTAAATTAGCATTTCTCTGTGACTTGATGACTTAGAAATACTGCTCTTATTGAAATAATAACATTGATGTTAGTGAGAAGGGGGAAATGATTTATAACCAGAGGCATTAATTGCCATGATTTTAAAATGGTTTTGATCCAAAGGCTCTGTATATGCTATACAGAGGCTCTGTATTATGGAGTGATATACCTACATTTCTATGTCCAAACTCTATGTCTGAGCTCTGTATCAGAGTTTTGCCTTTTAAAACAATCTTTTAGAAATTAATCATTTTAAATATTTCTTAAACAAAGTAAAGAACCAGAAGAGCTCTGGTTATAGTTTTATTCTCTTTTCTTTAAAAATCAAATGTTAGTCTTTTTGGATCAAAAACTTTGGTTGTCCAGAGGATCTCTGATTGAGTTAGTCTATAATATTGGAATGAGTACAAAGGAGCTCTGGCCTATTGAGCCAGAGGATCTCTGTGAGTCAGAGGAGTTTTATGACTTTGTGTTCTGTAAGAAACGCCGATTTCAGGAAGTGTGTATTTGTGTTATATCTGTTTGTTTTATAGTTTGAGTGCAAGCAGATTGGCATACTTTTGCTAGAAAGTATTATTTATTTATTTGCAAAAGATGTTTTAAATAGGATTTGGTGATTTTCACCCTGTAATTGCAAAGAATGGATTTTCTCACTAGACCTTCTGGTTTAACCCTCATTTTGTATTTTTAAAATGTGCATTACAGGAACAACGGGGTCTCGGGATATTAAGGGAAGCTTATGTGTTTTATCTGCCTTTTGAAGATCAGCCTGTTGCCTGTTATATTTTGAAGATAAATGTTGACATACATGTGTAGTACAGGGATATTCTTTTGGAATTTTTTTCAGTTGTAAATTCTGTAGATAATGAATCCTTGTACTAGTGGGACCTATGTCGTGTAATCTATATTTCTTTTATATGAAATATATGTTATATGCAAATGTGGAGTATGGGGTGTTACACAAATGTTGTAATTTTCATCCAATGGAGAGAGTATGATCATACTAGGGCTTAAGAATTCGTGAAGTAAATTTGGTGGTAATGTTAATCATGACAATCATAAGCTTATCATAAGAAGAATTTAAGTTATCATTTTCCTTGTAATTGGAAGAAAATTGATTTATTTTTCTTTTAGTCTCTCTCAAATAGCTTTGTGTTACCTATCCTAATATTTTTTTTATCCATGGAAGTAAATTTATACACCATAAGACAAATCCAGGAATTGATAATGAGTAAAGATCAAATTGCTTACTCGTTCTCAGAGAAGAGCTCTCCATAAGTGATTCCGTTGGCATATTGAATTTTCTTGAAATGATCAACTCCCTAAAAATCATTTTTGAACAAAATCTTCACAAAAGTTTATATAAAGCAAGCAGAAAATGAATGGAAGTATGAAACAAAACAAATCAAGCTATGTTTTGACCTGAAGTAGCATTAGGATGCGTTCAAGACCATAGGTGATCTCAACAGATACCGGCATCAACTGAAGACTTCCAGCCTTTAAGAAGAAGAAATTAATGAGAAAGAATAATAGCAAATAAGAAATGGAATGGAAAGAAGAATCTGGAGTGGTAGTAATGGCTCTTGGGAAAGGTAAAGCGGTGCATTTTATGGTATCCACAAGGCAAGTCTGGTACCTGTTGGAAGTAGGTAAACTGTGTAATCTCCATCCCGTCCATCCAAATCTCCCAGCCCAACCCCCAAGCACCAAGTACCTAGAGGTTAACATGAGGAAAGATCACGTGACAAGAAACACAAAATGACTATATAGTAATACATGATTTCTGGTTTCAAGCAAACCATCGTTCTCGAGAAACTAAAAAAAAACATGCTAGAGTTGTGAGAATGAGGGACTCTGGACAAAAAATTGTTAAAGTACGCTTTTTTCCATTTATATTTCCATAATTGTCCAAAATCGCTCCCTCATGGAAATGGTAAACATCTTGCTTTTTGGAGAATGATAGTTGTTTGCAACATCCAAAAAAACAAAAACAGGTAGGATGGTTGAAAATGTTAATCACTCACCCACCATTAGATGGATTAACTTACCCTAGACCATTATTTTACTTATATGCATAATGTTTCTTGCACAGTTTCATTCAGTTAAGAATTTCATATCAAGGATTAAGAAAGAAACGACAGACACTTTGTCCCATATGAACAACAAAATTTCTTTTTGAGGGGATGTCTTGCAATAATAGCCACATTTCCCACTTTGGAAACCATTGAAGTGCACTTCCCTATTTTTGCCCTACTTCTCGCAACAAAAGCATTAATGATTCTTTTTGGTCCACGATATTTACGTTAATTTGAGTGTTATAGTTCATTGCAAGTGTATTTTGAATATGCAAGCTACTACTAAATTATATTTATTAATTAAGAATGTAGCAATTCTTGTCGAATAGAGAAATATTAACATCAAGTTGAAAAGAAACTTGTTTGACACTCAAAAGTCAAACACAAAACGAAATAAAAAAAAGACAATTAGGCTTACCGGGCAAAAGTCAAACACAAAACGAAATAAAAAAAGACAATTAGGCTTACCGGGCTTTCCCAGTTGTCTTCCACAAAACGAATATCATGTTCATTGACATCTATGCCTGTGTGACAACAGCAAATTATCAATATGCATACAGAAAAGTATATAACTCTTACAGAAGGGCGTTGATAATCTTTGCATTCCTTCATGCACAACCATGATAACAAACTTAAATGAAGCAGGCATCAAGGTCATTTCAAATAATTGATTAGCCTACTTATCAACTAGTAAAGCCTGTGTTCAAGATGAAAATGAGTAAAAGGGCTAATGTGGAAACTATATCCTCGTCAAACCTTAAGAGGTAAGGGCAACTACTTTTTCATGCCGTGGATGCATCTAATAACTAAACCCTGGAGCACAAAGGCTCCTTGGATTTCCAAGAGATGTTGAGAGATGTCTTTGTATGCAACCTTTCACATGCATTTTGCAATGAAGCTGTTTGCATACTCAAACTCATGACCTTCTAGTGGAAGACGTAATGTTACGGTTGCTTCAGGGCTTGTCCTTCCCACAAAGAAGAGAGTATAAATCTCTTAAATAGATAACACAACAGATATAGAAGAATCATGATCTAAGGGAGATAGGTGGATAAACTCCTACCTTTCTTACAAGATAATGCATCATGAATAAAGAAACAAAATGAAACAATAGTGTGCCAGCTACATTGTAAAAAGCTAGAATCAGTGGAGCCCTAAAACAATCAGGTGTGATGATGTGTGTAACACGGATCATTTCAGGATGAAAATACTGGGATAGAGCCTTTGGGGAGGTGCTGTGATGGGTGAGAAAAGATGGCTGGTGGTGGTACATAGAACATCTGTTGTTAGCAGAGACTTCTACAATGATTAAAACGGGTACTAGTTCTGTAGAAAAAATCATGTACCAATTAATTGTACATAATGGCCAACATACTCTGAAAAAAATATCTATTCTTTCTCTTCATCAACCCTGTTAATCTTCTTTCTATTTTTTTGGAGAAAGTAAATAAGACACGGAAAAGTTCATTAAGTAATTTCTGGAGCAATTATGGCAATGCATGCCAATACGGATTATATTTGATTACTTCACTAAACCAAAGAGCATCTAAATAGAATAAAAAAATCATCAAGTGAAGGAGCAACACAAGTTTTGAATTTGGTGAGAGACTTTTGGGTGATAAATAAGATTCAAAGCTGACATGTTAACTTCAAAAATCAGCTTTTAAGTGAAGAAAATGTTACATCAGCACTAAAGAATCTATAATGTAATAATTAACGAATGGTTGTCCGTGTTCTCTTCAAAGCCTTTTATAATTTAAGGGGAAAAGTACCAACTGGAGAAAAGTTCAGGGTTCTCTGTTATTTTCTGATATGAGAGTGTTAGCCTCTTGATCAGAAGAATATTTGTCTAACCCTATATTAGAGTAAACTCTGTCAGGCTAAAACAAGAATGTTTGTCCAAAGACTCAAGAAATCTCACCCAAAGATTAGTCAAACTAGAGAGAGAGAGAGAGAGAGAGAGAGAACTTTGTGCCACCCTACCATCCATGCATCTGATAATTTTTTGGAAACCGCACAAGCATGAGAACTCAAGACCTTAGGGTTATTACGAGCAATTCCAACGATGTGAACAAGGCTAGCAGGGCAACCACTATACCTTATGATCCCAACTTGCTTTGCCAGCGGTCCTCTTTTTCGGGATGAAAGCTAACATTGCCTAACATAATTACCTTCATGATGCTTAATAATAACATCATTATAACAAGGATAAACAAGTCAAAGTCCCTTTTTTCTGGAAAGTAGGAACAACCAGAAAATTTTAATATGAACATGAGTAGCAGCCAAAACTTATTTTACTCGATGGTATGGGGGTCAAACATTTTTCTCTTGCTCGTATTTGAGTTTTTTTTTATAATGATTTGTTAGTATATAGTGTTCTAAGTACTTGTAACACTGTGTGAACTCATTATCCTTTTATGAAATAAGTTTGTTCACAAAGTTTACCATGTTATAACATTCAAAAGAGTTCCTGAACTTCAATCAAACTTTGGATAGCTCCAAACAAGCACATAGGAACATAGACAAGCAAGATGAAGCTTGGATTAAAGCTTGTTAAGCAAATGAACCCTGCTCAAATTTGCTAGAATTGCATTTAACTTGACTTATTTCCAAACCAAAAAAATCCACATATACATCCAACACTACTGGATACTGTGTCGTAAACATAAAACAGAGCATTAGATAAGTATGAAGTTTAACAAATAGACAAGAAACTAAAGGAAGTTGACAGAATAGGAGTAAAGTTTTTGATGGAAGTGTTATAAATCACAACCACAACCTAGGGCTGATAGACTCCTGATGAAGAGGTCTTGCGAATTTCCAGGATCAGGCTTTAGTATAACCTGAGAGAGAGGAGAGATCTGGTCAGGCTTAATGCATTTGTTTGAAAAATACGATTCAGAGTAAAACCGGAACCTATTTTAACCTGGAATTGAGTATGACGTTGAAGCCTATTAGGGTTTTCACCATAACGACTATCATCTGGCCGGATACTTGGCTCTGCATACCTTCCACCAGAAGCTACCAAATCAGCAATCACATCAATCATTAAAAACTCATTTGACTTGTAAATACATGGAACTCAAATGTGTGAGAGTAATATTGCATGTGCACACAATGGCTAGATATAATCAAGGTCCTATTCCTTTTTGCCATTTAACACTTCCATTTTGTGGGTCTCATTCATATTGTCAGAAGAGACAAATATGTGATTGTGAGTCCCATTTACATAATATGAAGAGAAACGAAGATAGAAGCCACAGAAAAGCCGGAGAATGGAGCACATATGAGCTGTCATAGGTTGTTCATACTTGCTTTGGATAACCTAGAGGCTCTGAGTTCGCATCGCCACTTGAGGTTTCTCCGGTCATCCAGTGTCTATATCACCAGAAGTGTACTAACAGGTCAGAGGAAAAAGCTTCACCACCTTAGTTGTGGTTTCTCCGGATTTTTAGGAAATGGAAGAAGACGGTATAACAAATGGAATATAAGCCTTTTGCCTACCCTAGCTAGGTTGGCTAAACTAGTACCAAGAAAATGAATGAGTCATCAATATGGCAGATAAATGATAAATGCAATGTTAGATGCACTCTAGTTCGCATAAGTCCGCTAGTTGTCTATGATACCTCCATGTACATTTTAAACCATAGTTCATCATTTTGAATGATAAGGCATATAAATATTCCAAAATAGATCGAAAAATATGACAGTAGACACTTCAAAAGATTTTTATGTAAGCATTTGCATAAAAATGGTAAGGACGAGCCTTGTTGATAGGGCCACTTCTTTGTGGGTGGGCATGTCATGGGCTTGAGCCATACTAACAACCTCTTGCAAAGGGATAAAGTTGTGTACCAACACGTTCCTTCTTGACCCTCAGAAAACATGAGAGCCTTGGTGCACCAGGGTTGCCCTTTTATTTGCAGAAAACTTGTAAACCATTATATGTATATTAACTTTGAGTACACACTTACGCAACATTCCATGGCTCTGGACCAAGAACCCTTAAAAATGTCAAGGGATTCATAGTCCCAGCTCCAACCTGCGCAAGACAAACAAGAAAATAATAAGCTGGAGAAAGTTTTGGAATAGCCTTTTGAAGAGCATGTTCAATTTTAAGATTTCTTTAAACCGTAAACGATGAGAAATAAACAGCTGGAAGTAACTATAACTTCAATGAAACTTATGCAATGTTACAATCCACAATGTTTTATATTCTCCATACAATCAATGACCCCCAAAAGTAAAGATATAGCCTCAAATGTAAAAGGTACTTATTAGTTATTGGCAAGTACCTCGGTGTTGCTGCACTGCATTATAGTACATCCAACAGATGCCCAGTACTCCTGCAGTATAAGAAAGCTCCACATATTGGCAACGGAAAAAAAACCACAGAAAATGCTCAAAAGTGGAACTAATAGCTTATAACAACATTTGGAAAACAATTCATTGGAAAATAATGATGATGACAGAAATCTTAACATAAATCATAAGTAAAAAACTTGTGCATTTCAGATCGGGATAATCATGATTTTTCTAAACTGCAACAAGATCAAAATTATTGCAAGTATGATACACTATGCTCTGGTCCCAAGTGATGGCAAACAGAGATTCATTGTTCCATTGTAATCTTTGTTCCACAACTCAGAACCAAACCAAACGAGCCCAGTATATCCCACCCGGAGGTAGGGTCCAGGAGGGAGACGGGAATACGGGATGTATGTGGACCTGACTTGGCAAAGTAGAGCAGTTGTTTCCATAACAACTTAGACAAAACCCCAGTAAACATTTCTACAATTTAGTATTCGCTCAGTCACTCGAGCTACCTCAAAGCAAAATTTGCTTTGCCTCCCTTTTCTATTTAATCAAACATTAAGTAAGCACCAGTTAATTGATCTCTATCCAAATCATACTAAGATATGTTGCAAGGACAAGTTAACATCTTCGTGTGTACATATACAAGTATACCACCTAAGTAATAAAAGAAACAAGTTACCTAATCATTCATTTATTAAATATCTAGAATGAAAAGATAATTAAGCTTTATCTTATCCTACTTCTGCTTAATGCACTCATATTACTCTAAATCATGAAAGCAAAACAATTATGTCACGTCCTATTGCTTTCTTCTTTATCTATGGAATGCATAGAACGTAAGTTTTACTTCATATTTAGCCTTGAGTTTTCATTCTTGTACCTAAGTTCAAATTCTTTGATTCTTAGTAAGAGTGAGATATCAAGAGCCACAAGCTATTTCCATTTGCATCGTCAAAAAGATTGTAAATTGTACCAAGTAACATACTAACATGTGGTAGCTATGACAAAAGAAATTTTGCTTTCTAATATATTGTGTTCTTAGAAGTAACATATTTATATAGCGCATATGTTCAGAGGGGCGTTTACCAAACACTTACCCGGGTAAGCGCTTACCAAGTCACATTACCTCACCGGATGAATATGATAAGGACTAAAATTTCTTACCCGGTAAGAGCGAGACAAGGACCATGAGTCTTACCCGGTAAGTGAGGGCCACGACTCTTACCATGGTAAGCGCTTACCGGGTGAATTGTTGCATACAATGTCGTTTTGATGGATTAAAATCTTACCCGGTAAGTAAATAATAGTGTTAAATTTTACCGGGTAAGCACTTACTGAGTAAGTGTTTGGTAAGCGGCTATTCAGGATTCTTTCTTTGCAAATACTTTAGAAGTGTAGAAAAACATTACGTATTAAATCATTCACAAAAGAACTTCAGTTATGTAGACCTATAAGCTGTGACAAAGGTGAATGTTGCAAAATTTGTTACACGTCAACCTAATGCAAATTCAATCAAACTTCTTTGATTACTCTTGTTATGACTTCTATTCCAAATACAAAAGCAAAAGAGTTTTCACTGAGAAAAAACCGAACCCAAAGCAAATATCTTCATTTTATACCCAAAAATGACAGATACAATTCAATGAAGCATTAAACTACAATTCAAGATCCCAGCATTCCAATTGAACAATTACATACAAAATACAAAGTGGGAATAGTTCGAAATTAGTCGAAATAGTCAATCACCTGGAGACGTTGAATCGCTTGTTGAAAAGTTGGTATAGAGACTTTAATCGGCCGTTCCTCCGCATTTGAACTCGAATCATCTATCGTTACCGAAGATTGATCACGTTGAGTAATTGCAGAAGTTGTGAAAGAACAGCGAGGGATGGTGGCTCTACTGAAACGGCTTCGTATAGGGAGGTGGTGGAAGAGAGTAGGGCGATGGTGATGATGGTGGACAGTGGTGGTGAATAGAAGAGAAAAATGGGGTTTATGGGGTTTGAGAAGAGAGGTTACCAATGGCAGTGTTAGTATCCCCATATCAATGGCTCGCTCTCTTTGGATCACGGAGCCTTCAAGTGTAGTTTTTGATGGGTTTTATCTGGAGGATGACACTGGGACACAAACAATCTCTAATCTCTTCTCCCTGGATGTTCTGAACTATCATGAATTTCAATTGCATCCCCCCGGCTTTACATAATTACATTCGGCCCCATCAACATTAATATTCTTTTATTTATTTATTTTTGTAATTATGAGTATCGAGATCTCTGCTTGCACGCATCTTGACTAATTTCATGAGGTCTTAAAGAAAATAGTTAAAAAATCCTCAATAACCCTGAGAAGACTTGAAGTGATGATTTACCTTGATCCAGATAGATATATGATTCACTTGCCCTGATCAGGCCGATGATTCCTTGTAAGGGTGTTCAAAAAAACCGTTGGACCACTCAAACCGGCCGAATCATGTCAAACCGGATCGTTTTTTATGGTTTGAGCGGTCTGGTGGTCTGGTTTGAAAAATAGTAAAACCAGGCGGTCCGATCCGGTCTAATCCGGTCTGCGGTCTGGAATCTTTTTTGGGTGGTTTGGACCAAACCGACCGCCAAATACACACACATATGTGTGTGTGTGTGTGTGTGTGTATATATATATATATATATTAGTATTAAAAAAGTTGGACAAACCCAACTCTTTTTACTTATGGGCTATGGCCCAAATATATCTTTAAGCCTAACATCTAACATAATTAAATCCAAATGAATCAGCGTCTAAAAATCCCTAAATCAATAAACATATCGACACATTTGACATTGACAGTCTTCAAATTTTGAAATCCATCAAGAACTCTATCAATCTATCAATTTTTCCTAATCCATGGTTTGATTTTGGCGCACATCATCAAGACATCAACCAGATTCAACTCTTGCCTTCAAGTTTTTCGATTCCAAACTCAATCTTTTTAAGTCCATTAAAGGTCTAAACCGCCTAAACCGGTCAGACCATACCGTCTTTTCGTGGTATGGTTTGACCAGTCTGGGCACTTGATGTCAAACCGCTTGGTTTGAAATTTTCATAAACCGTCATTTACAGTTTGGTTTGTGGTCTATGGGGTTAAACCGCCCAAACCGGACCGCAAACACCCCCAATTCCCTAGATAACCGGGCCATACATATAAGGTTAGGATCCCCACACTTTCTTCTAATAACGGTGTGATGGCTTACTTAAATTGACATATTTCGGTAGATTGACAGATTTCCAAAATGAGTCTCCATTTGGGTTGTGCAACCCATGGCCCGAATCGTATTTGCTTCACCCCAAAAGTTTAGAGGAAGTGATTTGTTTCTATATTTATGTTTGTGGACTGTGGTAGTAATCACTGACTTGAAATCGTATAATGTATGGTTTTCTATTATGGTAGTGGTATCCTAGGTGCATTACTAATACGATGGATCGCTATAATACTCCAATAATTTTTGTTTGCGTTTGTAAATAGATAGATTTTGGTTAGTGTACACCAAGAATATACTAGGGACAAAAAAACATTTTTTTGAAGTCGTGAGTATTTATGGAAAATATATACTCCTTGTAGTAGAGATAAAGTTTGCATACTGTAACACCCGAATTTTTGTTAAGTAATTAGATCTTGATCAAGTATTGTTCAAGATTATGCTCGTTATTTGGATTTTCGTATGTCTAAATTCGTTATTGCCAATGTTCAAAAAGGCGTGAGGCATGGAGTAGCAGCGAGGTCAAGCCTCAAGTCTTTCATGCCACGGCGAGGATGCGGCTTTTTTAAGGCGTGACATAAGGCGGCAAATTTATATGTCATATATAGAATTATATATTTATATAGAGAGAGATTGGGGGGGGGGGGGGGGGGTTTAATTTTCAAACCATATTTTTTATACAAACCAATTACATCTATCCATTTTCATGATCAAATGCCACGATTAAAACAAGTTATTTTAATAAATTAAAAAAAATTATTATTGTTTTCAACAAGAAAGGACAAAATGGGAAGAAATTGTAAGCTGTTGCGATCAATGAAATCCTCTTTCCCGCATCTAATCATGTGAACATGTTACATTGGACACTATGAAACTGTTAATGATGGGATAATAGGTTATTTAGAAGTGTTAACGATGAAACAAAATGAAACTGTTAATGATGAAACAAAATGAAACTGTGGCATCAGACAAAATAAAACAAAATGAAACTATTAATGATGAATATGTTAATGATGAAACAAAATGAAATTTCTAATAATGAAACAGAATGAAATTGTTAATGATGAAACAAAATGAAACTATGGTATTGGACAGAATGAAACTGTTAATGGTGAAATAGAGTTGCCTAGAAACTATAAAATGAGAAATATTTTAATAAATGATGAGACATAAAAAATATTCTTTAATCAACAATTATTGTACATTTTTCCAGAAATGGCAATTTATATCAATATATTTAATGGATAAATCAATTAAATATTTACTAAAAATGTGCTAGCTAATCAAGATATAATCTATATTTATATAAAATTAAAGATTTACGAAACTTATCTATTAGTATTAAATACTTACCAAACATAATTATTGTCATCTCAAAATACCATAATGTCTTTATAAATTAAAGGATTACTAAACTTATCTATTAGTATGAAATACTCACAAAGATACACAATGTGATACCCAAAATACATACAATGTGATACCCAAAACACACCAAGTAAATTTTTGAGAACACTGTGATACCAACTGTGGTACCACTGTCGCAGGTAGGTTTTTGGAGGTCGATCATCAGATATGGCATCTTGGCCAGACAAGATGACTAAAGGAGGTCACCTGAGTAGTGGTGGGTGCTGGAGAAGGCCACCGGATTTGGTTCTTGTGTATCCGTATGTGTGTGTGTATACATATACTAAACTAATTAAAGTAAATTGGAACATTAAACTAATTAAAGTAAATTGAATAATCAACACAATTTACTAATTTACCCTTTGGTTTATTTAGTAAATAACATTAATTATCTAAATGATTGGCTCATATTGGACCTTACAGTTACCACAAACTATTTAGTTCTTATTTGATTGGATTCATATATATATATATATATATATATATATATATATATGTGTGTGTGTGTGTGTGTGCGTGTGTGTGTATGTATGTGTTTTCTATATATTATGTAATCAGATAATGATAATAAAAAAATGTACATTCATATTAGAAGAAGAAAAATCATATAGGTTATTATTATAAAGATAGATTTTTAATTTAAATATTTAAAATAGCACTTATAAATGTAATTTACAACTTCATTTTAACCGTGAGTCTGTAATGTTTATGAATTTGAGAAACTGTGAGTGATATGATTAGTTAGATCTATAAAAAAGTAAAATCTAAAGTTAAAAGTGTAAAAACATAAAAGATAAAAAAGATTTTTTTTGGAAAAAAAATCACGTGTTACAAAAAAAAACGTGCGTCGTGACGCGCCTCAAGACGTCATGGCATGAGTCACGCCTTATAGAAAACGCTATAGGTCATTTCATAACAGCGGAGACGCGTCTTGCGCCATATTGGGCCATGGCGTGCTCCATTTTTGAACACTGGTTATTGTTGATTAAGCCTAGAAATTTAGTCCTTGGAACAAGTTTGATCATTGCATTTTAGGCATTAGCTTGGGTTGTGCAACCCTTGTGTCGCGACTCTTGAGTAGCATGGCCTACTGTAAGTAAGAAATTTGGAACCATGCAACCCTCGTGACTGCGACCCTTGCATCGCAAGGCTAGAGTTTCATTTCTCGTACTGTAGGTTGAATTGGGACACGAGCGACCCTATGAACACATGGGAGGTCGCATTTCGTGTACAGTTCATTTAAGTCGAGAATTTGGTCTATTCTCCTCAGTTACTCCTCACCTCTCATTTTCCCTTTTTGTTTAAAGCTTTTAAGAAACCCTAGGTCCGATATTCAGTTCATTCAAGGAGCATTTACTGGTAGCAATCATTAAGATTCAAGAGTTTGAGTTGAGTAATCAAGACCTACACACCCATCCCATCATATTGATAGGTTTTGGGTTTTCTTCAAAACCTAACTTGTAAGCTCATCCTAATCTTTCTTAAATGATTGGTTTAAGCTTGGCTCCAAAGGTCAAAAGTACCTAGAGGTCCCAGGTTCAAATCCAAAGATGAATAAAAATCCCCTTGTGGCCACGGAGGTTCAAATGCGGTGACTCCGGGCTATCTGCAAAACAGGTGGTCGCCCTAGGATTAGTTAGCTCACATAGCGGGTTGGAATTCCAGGTTAATCCAACAGAAAAGAAAAAACTTTTTTTATGTCAAAGTACTTGGTTTTTAATCTCCTGAAGCATTCCTTTGATATTCTTTACATGTTTATGTATTTTGGCTAATTTTGATATTTTGGGAGATTTACGGTTTTGCACCTTTTTGTAGAAAGTGATAGATCTTCAAGAAAATGTTATAAGAGGGTTTGTTGGTCATATGAACGATATTATGGGAACTTGTACGTCATGATAAATGATTATTCTTGACAACTCCATATCTGGAATTATTTCATGAAAAAAATAACATTATGTGATAAGCTATGAGAGTTTTCCTCTATTTGATAAATCTTATGATAAAATGATTTGATGAGGACATTTGAATCATGAAAACTATATTTATGATTATGGTTGGCCACTTTACAGTTGTGACTTATGTTAGACTGTAATGCAATAGATCCATAGGCATATGAGTCAATTTGATTAAAGTGGGATAGTTTCATGTTTGTAACTAGAAATAGACATTAGGTTATTGGAGGCTTCGAACTATAAATCACAGGTTGGTTGAACTCTAACCACTTGCCTCATAATGTAATTTCTGGTGAATGAATGTAACTAGGATCATTAGGGGACTTGATCTATAAATCACAGGTTGGTTGAACTCATTGGCCATTGATCTTTAATATGAGCTCTATAACATGAGATTGTGGTATACTTTTGTATTCCATCACTACCCATGGAAAATCGATTCTCCCCCATTATCGTAAGATGTATTTTGGACCTTATGGTCTCTAATTGGAATATATGAGTTGGGTTTCATATCAGTCTTCTAAACCTTAACTATTATAAGTTATTCACATTATTTATAAATGGTTGT